TGTTTTGGTTCAATGAAAACATGGTTGTTGTAGTATATGAAGAGTTATTATAAGGGCAAGCACCACTTCCACTCATGATTCTTATTCTTTGTGATTTCTCAACAATATACATAATGTAACATCCTTTTTATAGCCATGGGATGAGGCTAGTTATTACTCGAAGACCAAGTCAGAGACTACTAGGCATTTCACTAACGAATATAATTGAAAACCTTATAGTATATTAAATGAATGAATGTTCTATGAGCTACTTTATTAATGACATATAGTTCCAAAAAAAAAGGGTGAAATGATTTTGTTTCATGTCTTTCATTAACTTATCGACTTATACATGCTTCTAATGAAATTTTTTGTTTCAAATATATCCCAAAATTATTTAATAGATCAAATATGCTCCTCACAAAGTAATTAATATAGGGGTATGTTTGGACCTTTTAAATAAATTTCTAAAGAGATATATTTTGACATTTTTAATTATTAGTGATGTATTTAGATAGACCTCCTAACTTAATTTCTCAAGTGCATGCTTCCAAGTTCCAACAAATATATGCATATATTTACAAGTAAAGGAATATAAATTGCACAATTCGTATAATTCAAATATTATACGGATTAAAATCAGAATTTATCAATAATTAAAGGATCAAAAATGAATTAAGCCTATGTTATATCTTCGTTAGGTAAATTAGTAGAACGAATCTAGTCGAATTTGAGTCATGTGAATGAAATAGACTTTTGACATAAAATTCGTTTGAGAAAACGAGAAAAACATCTAAAATTGCGGAAACATATTTAAATAAGCCCCAAAATAAACGGAATTGAATTAACAGCCATTTTCAACTCTGAAATCCAAAAGAAACTACTTTTTCATTTTCTTGATTAGGTTGGAAGAAAAAAATGAACAAAAAGAAACCAAAAATCTTATAAGAATAAACCTTATAAATACATTGGTTCTTTTGTCATTTTTTAAAACAACCTACAATTTTTTCACCCTAAGGTAATTTTTAAATTTTGTGTTACCATAGTCACATATAATTTATATAATTCTTTTCTGAAGATTTTGTTACCAGAAAGTTGGTTTCTTGATCAAATAAATAAAGGATTGGTGCTGAATTTCTATTAGATTCATCACAATCTAATAGAATTCAGCACTTTTCCTTGTCCAAGTTGCAAAAATCTAGCTCAATTTTGCCTATTTTTGTAGTCGGTATGCGTTTTTTCATTAATCCTGATTTTTTTGGCTTCATAATGTATCGATAAGTATTTCGTTATATGAAATAATGATTATTCATATAGCTAACTGACCGAACCTCAACTTGTTCAAGACTTAGACGTAGTTGTTTATTTGATTATATATGTGTGAAGCTTCACATGATGCAATTTTCTTGCCTGTTCTACTTGCTATAAATGCTAAATTAGTTTTTATGTCATGATGAATTACAATTAATGGTTCAATATACCTTATTTTTGGATGTATACAATGAAATTTCTACTAATGTTGCTCTAATTCCATATATATTATCAAACCTCTGTATAACAACGTTTTTTTTCCCAAATGCTATAGCGAAATGTTGTTAGTCCAATAGAAAACATGGTTGTTATAGTGAAATATTTGGGATGATTGTTATCGAGAAGTCTGACTATAATGTGTCTTGTACTCTTGAAGCTGAATGGATCAATTCAGGCAGATTGGTGAGGTAGTTGGGAGCTTAAATGCTTTAATGGTATTGAAACATGACATTCAAATAAACCAGAAGCAATGTTGTCTTCTGTTTGACATGTATGTACAAGCTTTCGACACGATTTCCGAGGGGATCAAACATAATTTAAGGTTGAATGAGAGGAACACAAAGTGGAGAGCACTTGAACATCCAATGAAAGAGCTTCATAGGATCTTTAAAGAAGGTGAAATGTACATAAAAAGTTGTTTGGATGTGAAAGATTTGTGGGGCAAAGCTATAAGTTTACATCTCAATAAGGACTGTGTTGAGTTTCATGTTCATAACTTGCTCTGTTGTTTCCCTGTTGTGATTGAGGCTATTGAGACAGTTGCAGAAGTCTCAGGATTCGATGAGGAAGATATGCAGAAGAGGAGGACTGCACTCGCTAAAAAGTACGAGGGAGAGTCAACGTGTGATCCAAGATTCTTTCAATGGATGTTTGGGAAACAATACTTGGTCACTAGAGAGATATGTAGTGAATTGGAGAGTTGTTGGAAAGAAGATAGATGGTATCTTGTTGAAATGATCAGTCAAAAGATGAATGTTGCAGAAAACTTGGCGATAAACGAGCATAGGCTAGCTGAGATATTGCTTAAGAAGCTAGAGGGATCAAAACAACTCAAACAGATTAAGCTCTTGCCTAGTTCAATCTTGATTGGAGCAAGTGATTATCATGTGAAGAGACGTTTAGGCTCGCGAGGAGGACATGTTAAGGAGATTCAATGGTTAGGAGAAACGTTTGCGTTGAGGAACTTTTTTGGTGAGCTGATTGAATCAGTAGTTGCTGAGATTTCTTTAGTTTATTCACTTTCACATCCCAACATTCTGCAATATCATTGTGGTTTTTACGACGAAGAAAAGAAAGAAGGATACCTTGTTATGGAGCTAATGAATAAAAGTTTAGCAACTTACATAAAGGAGCATTCGTGTCAGAGGAAGAAAGGACCTTTTTCTATCCAAGTTGCTGTTGATATTATGCTTCAGATTGCTCGAGGGATGGAGTATCTGCACTCGAGAAAGATCTATCACGGAGAGCTGAATCCATCTAACGTGCTCCTTAAACCAAGAAATCCTTCAGCGGAGAGTTATTTTCATGCGAAAGTTAAAGGATTTGGTTTAACATCTGTTAAGAGTAGTTATAAGGCTGCTGATGAAAATTCTGCTGAGTCTTTCATATGGTATGCACCAGAAATTCTCACTGAAAAGGAAAAACCAGAAAGCAAATGCACTTACAAGTATACAGAGAAGGCTGATGTTTATAGTTATGGAATGATATGCTTTCAACTTTTAACGGGGAAAGCTCCGTTTGATGAACATCTCCAAGGGGAGAAAATGGCGCAGAATATTAGAACAGGGGAGAGACCTCTCTTCCCGCATCCTTCACCTAAATATCTCGTTAACTTGACAAGAAAATGCTGGCAAATGAATCCAGACCTTCGCCCAAGTTTCTCTTCTTTGTGTAGGATTTTGCATTATATCAAGAAAGTACTTGTCATAAATCCAGGACATGGCCAACCTGAATGTCCTCCTCCACTCGTAGACTACTGTGAAATCGAGGCTGGCTACTCAAAGAAGTTCGCGGGAGAGGATAGCACTGGTTTGGCCCCGGTATCACAAATTCCATTCCAGATGTTTGCTTATAGACTTGTTGAGAAAGAGAGAATATCTGGAAACTCTAAAGACAAGCACTGGGATTCATCACATTATGGTCATTCGAGTCACAGGACAGCATCAATGCAGAGCGACAATGAGCATATGGATGCAATGGATGATCTCTTTTTCGGTCCAAGTGATCGAAGGTCAGTTTGCTCAGAGATAATAGAGAGTAAAGGTCCAAGATTCTGGGATCAGAGGACAGTCATCTCTGAGACACCACTTCGAAAAGTTTTCTCATTCGAGCAATTGTCAGTTAGTTCTGAGAGTCCAAAAGAGAAAATCCCAGCAGCAGCAACAAATGAAAAGCCAATCTATGATGATATTCTGGAAAGGAAAGAAATACTAATACCATCAGGTGATCAGTCTTCACCGCATGTTGATACAACACCACGGAAGGCCATTTCATCAATGAGAAAGAACAAAAAGCTGAATGTTATGGAAATCAAGGAGAATGTAATGTCTTCGAAAACAGATGACAGAAAACCTTCATCGAGTGAGCAGAAAATAGTGACTCCTGTGATTTCAGCGAAGAAAAATTCATCAGGTGATCAGATAATAACTCATTCCGAGATTCAAAAAAAGAAACATGCACCAGATGGTCAGAAACTAATAAGTTCTGCAACTCCAGAGGAGAAAAACTCATCTGACAACCAACAACCAAAAGATTCTCAAAGTCAAGAAAAGAAGCAGTCATCAACAGCTGCCAATGTCAAGAATATTCGTGGTGATCCTACGCAAAGGAAAGCTGTGTCAAGAAGAACAGAATCCAAGAATCCAGAGAAGAAAGTTCTATCAAGTCCGGAAGCCAATCAAAACTCAATTTCATCTGAGATTACAGCATCGAAACCAAGCAATTCAAAAGTAACTGCAAAGAAAGCACCATTTCACAAAAAACTCCAGGACAAAGAGAGTAGCACTACACCAGGTTAGCTCTTCCAACTTTTGTCAACTTGCATGTTTTTGTTATGAGAATATTTAACGTAAATGGCTTTTGAAGAAAAACTGACAGACCCATCACCAAGATCTTCACCAGCTAGAGCTAAGAGAATACAGTCATCAACTATGTCTTCTCCAACACGAAGCCTAAAAGGTTCATCTCCAAGATCACCTGCAATCACTACATATGGAAATGGATATCAATCCCCATGTGCATCACCATTAAATCCGTGTTCTCGTTATGCCAGAGTAAGCCGAGAGCCTCACTTGTCCTCAGCTATGAGCCCAAGTAGACCAAGGAAACTTCAGAGCATTAGCAATAACCAATCTGTGCACAACAATTAACAAAGTTAACGCGGCTTTCAATTTTCAAATTTGACTAGAACAACTTTGCAGCTAAAAAATTTTGAAGCAAAGGATGGTTAATATTTGTATATTATGCTTATACGTTAAACTTTTTGATCTGTTGGAGGTCTACACTCCCTGGATTTCACAGGTTTTGAATGCTATTCAGCCATTCACAACTGCGAAACTTCATTTAAAAATATCTGCAATTTACATTTATAAATTATATTTTGCAGACTTTGATTCACGTCACATTGGTTTCACTTGAAAGAACGTAACAAACTTTTTGTCATCTATACCCCAAATTGGCACAAAAGAAATGGCAAAGCACTAAAAATTCAATTGACAAGTCAATGTACAACTTTTTTATATATTGCTATGTCAGGGTAAGGGAATTATGACATGTACAATAACTCATCGTCAACTATATTGCTTCCCAAGACATGATTTTACAATGCCCGTATCTATCTAGATGTACAAATGAACACCACACGCCAACAAAATTTATCTCGACTGCAATTTCATACGGACTTCACTAAGCTACACCGTGAGCCTTCCAAAATATGGAGGACATCAATATTCTGTTTAATCTGTTTTGCGGGATATCTCAAGATTCAGGCAATTATGTCTTCAGGAATGTACTTGCATTGCATCTTCAGGAACATTGCATATGTGGCCCTTGAGCGAGTAATTTCAGCAACCATTCTCTTTCCAGTTTAAAAAAGAAGACTCCCTCCGTTCAGATTCCAAAGTTTTTAACCAAACAACCCAAAATTGTCAAGACAAGTACCAGACTCAGGTCCCTTCTCAAAGTTTAGCCTTAAAACTTTTTAGTGAAGATATCCCAGAAATTACCAAGGAAATCATACAGCTGCATTTCAACATGATCCATACAAAGCTTCCCAGGAAACCTGACGAGAAAGGAGCAAATGAAGACTGCGATTCTTCAGCTGGTCTATGTCTAAACCAACTCGAGCAGTTTTATGCAGCCACTGGAACTGGCAGCCAGAACAGTGTTTGACTTTTGTCTCCAGCAAACACTTGAAACAAATTGTCCATTGTCGTCATCAGTCTCTTTACCAGAGATTGGATCAATAGAGCCAAACTTGTGAGAAGTAATAGGCATAGGCAGAGATTTGTAATAAGCAAAGACCTGCAGGGAAAAAATAAGCCTATAAATAAGAAGTCCTCTCCTTTTTCTGTATGCTTTTCTATTTCACTTTGTTTGGATGTCAACAAGTTGTCAGAGAGTTACAGCAAAGAAAAAGTAACTGGAAAAAATAATTTTCAGCATGCAATGCTTGATAGGAGGAGGAACCTGTAAAACAAGAACAAACCGTCTGCTTTCATGTTTCAAATTCCGAACATGTTGCAAGACATGATTCAGAGGAATTTAAGTGTCAGCTGCCTTTCACTTTCTTGTTAATTTCCAACACTTTCCTATCTTAGCAGCCAAAGGCTTTGGGTCAAAGAAATTTCCAGGAAATTGTCTACCACGACAGCTTGTCATAATAAAAAAAGTTGGCGCAATAGATGCACAAAACGATAAATACACACACTGTATTACATTTGCAAATTCTGTGTTCTTAGCATGGGGGTTTCATTGCGTAAAAACTACATGTAAGAATATCTTTTACATATGGCTCCTTTAACTCAATGCAGAAAGTGAATTAAATAACTCTTCTTTTGCAAAGCATAATATGGTTGCAAATGAGGAAATTCAACTCAACAACAGTGCAACACTGATTCATTTTTCTGGGGAAGTGAATGACACAAATGACTAGCAAGATGTGTTTCTTCTGCAAGACACAGAAAAAAACTAGGACCTCAGTTTTACTATATTTTTGCAAGAAAACTAAAATGTAGGAGACAGCCAATAACTTGATCAAACAAATCAACATTATCAATGTCAATGGTACGTGACTGTATATTGAATAGGTAAGGGTCAAACTTAACACCTCAACCCTCCCTTCCTATTAGTTCCCATCTTCAGTCATAGCAATAGAAGAGATTCATATGGTTGTATTCCTCATTAAAACAGGGAGCAAGGAACCTACCTCATTTGTTTCTGACCCGCAAGTTATGTATCCATTGTTCACAGATAATCCCACAAAATTCTAACAATAAAAGACAAGATGTCAGTTCATACAGAAATAATGGTACTGATAGCGAAGATAGTATGATTAAGCAAGCAATTCAAAATTTTGGATCTCATAGATATACGACCAAAAATGACTGATATTCTATTAATAGCCAACCTTCTCATTGGTGTGCCCTTTAAGGGTTAAGACACAAGCATCGGTCGAATAGCCACTTGGATTGGTTTTATTGAGATCCCATATCTTCAAACTGTTGTCAGTGGATGCAGAAATGAGCGTTTCAGCATCCAAAAATTTTGCATAACTAACAGATTTCTCGTGGCCAGCCAATATACACCAAGGAGCTGAGGTATTACGAAGATCGTAGCAATAAGTCTTGTAATCGGCAGAGCTATAAGCCAGAAAATGACTGGAGTCAGGTGAAAACTGAACACTGCAAACATTTGCTTTGTTTCTGATCGTGCACACGCTGTTCTTCTGCACAGACGGAAAATTTGAAGCAATGAACTCCATGAAAAGAAGAGATAATATCACATATATGAAGAAAAAGTGGATATCTATTTTTCTATACCTTCATGAATATTTTGTTGAATTAATTTTTTCATTAAATTAGATTAAGTGGACTATGTACAGGTGACTTTTCTTTTCTCCGTGTTCAACAGAGATTATATATATGCTAATCTTTAGTGCCACTGCACCCAAAAGAAACAAGCAAGTGATTTTATGGACAAGTACTCAAGTAGAACATTCACATTCTGTCATATTCATTATTCTAATTTTGAGAGGAATGCACACGGTATAAATCCAAAATCATCTTAAACTTCTATTTCCTTGCATTTTACTGTACACTGAACTTCAAACTATGACCTTTTTTTTTGTCCAACAAGGAGGTTTGTGTTGGAAGGAGGGCAGGGGGGAGGGAACTTCTCAATCAAAACATGGAGATATAATATAGAATAGCATGAAAGAGGGAAGCATGCCTCATTGATGCTCCAAAGTTTCACCAAATGATCGTCACTTCCACTGGCTAACTTTGTGGGATCCACACGAGAAAAATCTACAGACCATGCCCTTTCATTATGCTCAGTCAAATGCAAAAAAGCTTGACCAGTAGACACATCCCATAACTGAAATCATTCCCAAAGTCACGAGGTATTCAGATAAAAGTAGTGAAGTTAACACCAGCATTTACAGGTCAGATTTATGAGCAGCAAAACAATATTGCGAAAATTAAGCAGTATGTCAAAAACATTATACAAGGGTGAATAAACATCACAGTTATTAAACAAAACAAAGACCAGGAAAATCAAATTGGGTGAAAAAGAGGACAGACCGGATGAGATGCAAAGTCTACAAGTTCATATTTTATTTGTTGTTTAAATAACTTATATCAAAAGGGAAATTAGGAGATATGCAAAAAGAAATCAGGTAGTTATGTCATACAAGGATCATAGCCAACCCTCTCTCAGTTGAAAGTGCTCCAAAACCAAAATTAATTCTAGTGGATGAACCAATTTATCCTCTGGAACAAGGGTACAACATTCACACAGTCAACGTATCACATTCACCACAACTTTTCTACATGCTCTGTATTGCTAAAAAAACGAACAAGAAGAAATATGTAAGTTGCCTAGATATAAGCGAAACAGATATATCCAAGCCTCTTATGCTACAGTGCAACTCACTCCTTAAGTGAAAGATGTGTGATGAACATAAGCCTTTATAAATTGAGTCGACAAAAATTCAGCATGGAGCGCCACATTCGGAAGATAATTTCCTTCTAACTATAAATCACCTCAATAGTCATCATAAGCAATAACTATGAGCAAGGGACAGGTTCAACATACATACAAGGCAATACTCTACCCATGCCACTGACAGAAAACTAAAACCAAATACACACCTTAACCGCTCCATCATAGTCAGTGGTAGCCAGATAGTTCCTGATATAGTTGTTCCAGCAAATGCAGCTGAGCTTAGATTTGTTTGACATTTCAATAATTGGGTAATGAATGTCAACAGAATCATTAAAGAGGGCATGATACTCAAATACTTTAATTTTCTTCGACACCCCACCAGCAGCTAAATATTCCTCGTCCCTGTCAAAGCTCAGAGAACAAATGACATTTGCAAAATTATTCAGATCTGCATTTCTTAGTATTCCCCTTGCTCTGAACTTGCTATACCGACCATACTTGCATAAGCCATCAAAGAAACCTCCAAGACGATCTGTGGGTCTATACTTCTCTTTATCATTTTCTGGCGAGACAAAGTTCTCCTGATTGTTAAAAAGTTCTTCAGTTCTACGGACCATGGCAACATTATCAGACGGCTGAATATTGGATCTCATGGAGGAGTAAGCACTCTCAAGCTGCTTGATATTCTTGATCAATCTAGTTTCATTTTCACATACAGGTGGAAGCTTTGGATACTCATCTGAACTTGATGCTCCTTTCTGAATAAACCTGGTCTGCCGCTGAACAAGAGACTCTGGGTGTGATGACGGAAAAAGGGCTTTGCTGCTTCGACGCCTCTGAACCTCTTGGACATCTGCTTCTATACATTTGAGTTCTTCCACTAACTTTGTGGCATCCTTCTGCTTTTGATCTTTCAGTGACATGAGGAAGTATAATAATAACTCTGACTCAGATTCCTCTTCGTGAATCGATGACAGTGAGACATCTCCAGGTAATTCTTTAATCTCAGCAATAACTCCAGATTGTAAGATTTCCCTGTTCCATACCAGTAATGAGATAGCTGAATTACTGCGAAAATACTAATGAAAAGGAAAGACTGAAAAAGAAACTGGCAGGTTTCAAATTTCAAAACACTCATAACTACACATTAACGAGTCACATTCAGAAAACCACAGTCTTATAGCAAGCAAAAGTTAAAACTTCCGCCCTGGAACTTGTAAATTCATCTTATTAAAAATAATCCTTGTAGTTCGTTATGCATAGATCAGACCTAAAGTTCCATAACTAATCTCTCCATAAAATGATTCTCTCTATTTTTTCATTAAATAACATCTCCTGACGAATAATTTTAAAATCAAAAAGACTGTTTGAGAAAGATGCCACTTATTCCAAGGTTCAACAGTCAACTAGAAAATGATTTTATGCACAAAATGATATGCTAGCCTCATCTGTTCTGTTTATGAAGAATATGTCTAACCAGCACTCTAGGGAAAGAAAAGAACATTGAATTGAAAAAAAGGCTTGACTACCACTGTTCTCAAAACTAAGTTTAGAGATGCTGGACAAGCTATACTCTATCGGTGAAACTGCAAAGCGGATCTGTAGTCATGTGAGTTGAAACAGCTTGCTAGTTTCAGTACCTCCAGATGTAAAAGACTCAACACCCCTTGTACAAAAGCCAAAAAAACTTGAAGCTCTTGTAAATGGCTGCACTTCCCTTGAGTGTCATTTCTAATAAAAGTACATCAATTAGCACAGATAACAAATTGGACTATAATGTCCAAACTTTAAGTCATGAACAATATCATACTTTGGAAGCCCTAGCTCGATCATAATCTAATTATTTTTTTGTCCCTTTCCTTACGGTCATGTCTGCCATCACAATTGATAACTTTAGAGGTATCAACTATCTGAAAGCTCTCTAAATCACCAATAGTATCTCAAACACTAAACGAGTTCAGTAACTGAACTTTTTAGGTCAAACTCTTTCCATAAGGCATTCACAGCATTCCCATTCAAGAAGCCAAGATAAAACAAACAGAACCAGAAATTTTGACCACCTTGTTGTTGGACGTGCTGAAGGTTCTGGATGGAGCAACCAAAGACAAAATCCAGCTTCTTTGGGATGCTCTGATAGGAAACAAGAGGGAAGAATCCTATGGCGAAGATCCAGCATTGCAGCAGCATGAGAGCTTTCACAGTCAAATGAGGCAAGCAACTGAAAGACAAAGAAAAACTTATGAGTAATGAAAATACAGTATCAACCGAGTGCTCTAAGACGGACACTTAAAATATGGAGAAAAGTAATTTGTTTGCTTACTGAACAAAACCTTAGCACATATTTTTTTTTGATAAGGTAAGTAATTTTATTAATGTGGGATAACTCAAGGATACACTTTACCAAAATGTAGAGAGTCTACACAGAATTAGGAGCATCTATGTATTGTAGATACATATTCTGCCATGTCTACAAAGACTAAGGATGATTGTGAACGTATCTTAGAGGAAGTAATATAAACAATAGACCTTGTTAGAGAAGTCATGACAAATTTCAGATTCTAACACACCCTAGCTAATGAAACTTATATATGGTCCACCTTATTCACTAATTAAGCTAGAAACAAACTATCCACCTCACTCAAGACTTCAACATCACATGACCCCCATCGTACTCCTGTCTAACTTCCAAAGTATTCACAGCACTAGTTGGGACCTCTAACAAATAACAACAGAATGGTGAAAAACCCCAAACTCTAGAAGAGATGATGAGATCAAGAATGAATTTCATTGTACTCAGAAAGATAAATCTCATGCCAAAGTGATTGAACTTCCTGCATAAATGAGACAAGAAAAAGAAAAGATTTTGACTAGAAGTTTATGTTGAAACCTCAAAGAGAAGAACCCCCAGGCAGTAGATATTTGATGAAAATGTGCAGCCACCCTCAGTAAACTGCTCAGGACTGGTGTACCACTTCTCCTCCAACTTAAAGCTCATGGAAGTCAGCGATGGTTTTGACATAATGGATAGCTGAGGCAATCTAAATTTGCTCGGGTTGTTAGGTTCTTTCTTGAGGCAATCCTCTTCATTTGACTCATCTTCATAGCCTGGTGCAGCATTTAATTTTGTGTTTCTGGAAGCGGATTTATGGCCTGACATGAAGGGATATTGAGGCCACTTCATCTTCTGGTGCATGTTTTCACTAAGTTTTTGCTTCTTTACACAAGGATCAACCAGGGATGAAATATTTTTCCCAGCTGAACTTCTCTCTTTCTGGTTATTCTCTGACAGGGAAACACCTCGATCAACCACATATTCATTCAACTGAGAGCGTACAGATGCTCCACTATATACAACTTGGTTTGAGTGCAATAATTTAAAGCAAGATGGACGCAAGTCTTGTACACTAATTCCTTGAGAGTGAGCAAAATCCACCAAACCCAGAACTTGTTTGAAGATGTACAAGCCTTCATCTTTGTTTAACTTATTCCCCCCAGCTTTCAGCCGTTCTCTTAAACTGATCCCATCATGATAGACGTTGGGATTAACAAATGCATCCATGCTTGCAACAGTGGAAGAAGCATTAGTACACTGCGAATGAATCTGTCCTCGAGACTCACTAGCAGATACTCGGGGTAACTGTGTTTTGCAGATGATTCCTTTGCCTTTCAATGTGCTTTTCACAAAATACTGGGAAAACCCCGACTTGGAGATAATCTTAGTACGGATACCCTCAGGAGAGGATAATACATTGTTCAAAATAGCTTTATCACCATTACTCTGCAAATTTTCTCCGCCTAGATTATGGTTTTCATTTGATGTGTTCTGGTTCTGATTCAGAAGTCCGGTAAATAATGTGTCTCCATCTTCTTCCTCCCAGATACCCGATGATGCCCTACACCTGTCTCTATAGGCAGCTTCCCCATGTGAGCTTGCGCATGCAGATCCCCCTGCTAGCTGATAAAACCACTGGTTTGGTCTAATATGCATTGTTTCTTTATTGCCCAAGGTACCAACTACAGCCAAGTTTTTCCCATTGTAGTTTCTCAGAGTCAATTCTTCAACCATGAGCCCAGCATCATTCATACAGCGGGGACTAGAACTTGCATGTTCTGAAGATCCTATCCTGTCCAGATTCTTTCTGTCGAGAATATGTGTATAAAAATTGGGAGTAGTTTGGTAATGATCACCCTCACCAAGTGTGACTACTTCATGCGATTGCAGCATAATGGAGTTCCCAGACCTCAAAGCATACTCAATCTCCTTAATTCGAAGTTGTCTACCATCAATGGCATCCAGTCCGTTTACCTCATCGCCAATAGCTTCGTCAACAGCTTCATCCATAATGTCAATATGTTCTAGTTTAATAAAATGTTTCAATAGCACTGCAAATAGAACCTTGTCAAGGGACCGAAAAAACTTTAGATCATATGTTAAACTAGTGAGATGACTCAAGCCAAAGGGTAAAACTAGTGCATCGTGATAGAAAAATAAACAATATTTTCCATTTTCTTTTGTTTGTCAAAAGGTGTTATAGTTAGTTCAAAATGGCACAGATCTTTCAGTAAAGCAAGCACCTTTAAAGAGAAAAGAAAGGAGGGATGGCAATGGGGCGGGGCGGGGCGGTGCGGATTGAAGTGGTTTTTTTTAAAATTAATGTGGGGCAGGTTGCAGGTCTATGCCTTATATGCGGATTTTTACTTTTTACATGTAATAAGAGTGATAGTACATTATCTATTAAGATAGTTTCTTTAAAGTTACTAAAATATTAAAAATAGTAAATGAAAATGGTTAAATGAAAACTAATACAATTTCTTACATGCTTCCCAATTAGGCTCTAGAAAATAAAATTTTAAGTCATTATCTATTAAATTAATACAACTCAAAAAATGACTTAAATTTTACGAATTTTATTTTTGGTATCAAACTTTACAAGAAAAGGAAAATATAAAAAAATTATGCGGGGCGGGGCGGGTTGAAGATTTTAAAAAGAAATTGTTATGCAGGGCGGAGCGGGGCGGATTAAAACTTTTGCGGGTTAAGCTCAACCGGCCCTGCCCTGCCCCGCGCCGCCCCATTGCCATCCTTACTCCCCACTAAACGGCAGAGCATTAAAACAATCGCTGACAGTGGCACCACACCAGATCAATTTTTTGGTCAAATTGTTGATCATGAGATTATATGTGCATATCACCAGATAGCTTCCACCAAGAAACCTTCATCTAGTCCACCAAATAGACCACCTTAAAATGATACATAATTGTCATTGTATCATAAATTGAAGCATGAGCAGATAGTCAAACAATCAAATGACCACATACATGACAGATATTCAAAGGGGAGCTACCAAAATGGGAACCCAAGAAAAAACCTTGTTTTGGCATATTTCTTCGAGAATCTGAAACAAATCTTAGTCTAGTCAAAGGTTGTTAGCCATACGCAATAAGGAGGGATCTCATAGCGTAGATGAGGCAAAATAGAACTACTAATGAGGATGCGCATTGATTATAGGCAGTTTAAGAAAGTGACCATCAGGAATAAGTATTCTTATATTGTGTATTCATGACTTGTTTGATCAGCTTTAGGGTGATTTAGTGAACCCAAGGAAAAACCTTCTCTTGGCATACTTCTACGAGAATCTCAAACAAATCTTAGTGCTTGGCAAGACTGTTAGCCAGAAGCAAAAAGGAGGGATCTCATAGCATAGCTGAGGCAAATAGAACTATTAATGAGATCACGTATTCCATGTCAGAGAAAATGCTTTGCTTCTACAAGTCAGAGCAATATCCTTATCAAAAAAAAATGATATGTTTATTTTTGCCAAAGGTAACTTGTACCATCAACAGAGGAATACTCTAGGAGTAGTCGAGTAAGAGAAGTTGTATGTTTGTAGGTTATTGCTAGTGGAGCTGGAATCAAATTGGAGGATGTTTAAATCAGGGAATTTGGTTAATTAGGTTTCCTTATTTTCTGATAGGGCATTTTTCCCACGTTGACTACAAAGCCCTACTACCTATATAAACATTGTTCCTATCCAATTTTTCTAAAAACTAGTTCAGAATTTCCTATAACTAGTTACATTTCCAAGAGAGAAGGAATTAAAACATCATTACCCTGTACAAGAATATCAAGCAACAGCACATCTAAGAAGATCTAAACAGTGATAATACCCTGAACCTCCAACTTTTCAGTTTCCCTATTAATCATGTACTCTACAAATGTTGGTAAAAATCGAACACACATTTTAAAGCACCAAAATTATTTTCAAATCAGCAAGCTTACCGGAGTAGCTTATTGTTGAAGTAGACAATATAAACCCTCAATATGTGTTCCACTATACATCAAAACTAAAATTCATTCCACGACTAAAAAGACTCTCTCTAAGGCAAATTAGGCAGCTAATTAACAACCAAGAGCAAAATTCTGTTATTTTCTTCTCTAATTCTTTTCTTCCATTAAACAATATAATAGCCTGAACATCCTTCTAGATTCTCTATTAACCACATACATCAAAATCAAACACACATTTTAAAGCAGCAAAATTATTTACATATTAGCAAACTTATCCAATACCTCAACATCCAGAATAGCTGAGTAACTAATTAACAGTACATCGATCAACTAAGTCATATCCAAAACCAGTAGGAGTTGACAATACAAACCTCTATATCCATTCCACTACACACAACATCTCATTCATACAGACACTGGGGGAAAAATCCTTTTAGGCAAATTTGAATAGCTAATTAACAACAAAGAGCAAAATTCAGCTATTTTCTTCTCTTTCATTAAGCAAGGAAACATCCTAATTTCTAGTTTCCCTATTAAGCATGTACTCCACATCACCATCCGAGCAAATTAAACACACATTTTAAACTATTTTCATATTAGCAAGGTTATCCAATACCTCAATAGCTTATCAACAGTGCATCAATCAACTAAGCCCTATCCTAAATCAGTAGAAGTATACAATATAAAACCTTCAAAACCCAATTCCACTAAACACAAACATTTCATTCATACCGACACTAAAAACAAAATAACTTTCCTTTTAAAGCAAATTAGGTTAGCTCATCAACAACAAATAACAAAACTCAGTTAATCTCGGTCCTATTTCATCTCTTCCACCGTCACAAAACAATAAAGTACGAACAGTTCAATTCACAACAGAGTGACGAAATAAATTGAAGCGATAAAGCGAAATATGAACATATTGAAACAATTTTGCAGCAAAACTTACCAATATTCGCCTGAGAAACGGAGAATCGACGGGAAGATGAGGGAGCAGAGGGAGGGAAAAGTCGATATGGAAGAGAAATGGTGAATTTTGTGAGCCATGGAAAAAAGGATTAAAAGAGGTTTTTGTGTGAAAGAGAAAGAGAGGAGAAAGAAGGGAAAGTCTTATCGGACTTACCTGAAATGGAAATAATATCTAAAACGCCTAAATTGAATATTTTATTATTCATTAATTACTAACCACTAATTAAATGTTTAATTATAGTGACTAGTGAGTAAGTATTGTTTTTTTAGGATTAAATAACATTTTTAGTCTTTTCATTATTGATAATATGGAGAAAAATATATTTTTTGTTTTTAAAGTGAAAATGTCATTTGGAAATTTGGTTATTTTTTAATATTTGTGAATAATTTGAAATGAAATATATATATATTGACGTTTTTAAATTTTTAAGTTGAATTCTAAAAATTCTTAAAGAAAGATATAGATTTGTAAATAGTTTGAAATGAAATATATATGTTAAATTTTTTAAAAGTTTTATGGTCAAATAAAAATTACATATTCATAATGAAATACCCTTTAAGCTTAATTGTCTCATCATTTTATTACGTTTTGTATTAGTGTACAATTAAATTTTTATCATTACTTCGTATAAAGATAATATACTTATAAAAGTTCAAATACAATATAATTCCTACGACCACATACATTTAGTTAAATGTATTAAGTCATACACTACAAAGATCAAAATAAAAAAAAAGTCCATAATTGATAGATCAAAAAAAGAATATTATCACTTCTTTTAGTTGAAAAGAAAGGAGTGTGATAATATATATATATATATATATATATATATAGATGTTCGTATACAATGAGTATACATATACACAATATATATGTAGTAGAAATTTTGATTTTATCTATTCATTTTTTTCTATGGCGTGTTTTGATCTTATCTATTCGTGAGTGAAGTAATACACTTCTATTAGGTAAAATTTATCAACATGTGAGTGTACATATTAAGCATGTATTTTTATTATGTATTTTTAACATGTAAAAATAAGGTTATAACATGTCAAAATCAGTTAGATTATGCTTAGTGGGTTCATATTTTCTTATTTATTTATTGAATAATTAGTGGATTTCTACCCAAAAAAAAAATCAAAATAACAAAAATTTAAATCGACACATATATTAATGCTTAAAACATTTATTGATAAGTTATAATAATTTATCTTTTTTTTATCTGTTAGCTAGGAAATCTGCCATTGATGTTTTATAAATATATACATGATAAATTTTGCTATAGTACAATAGCACGTAAATTATATAAGATATATACATTGCACTAGATCAATTTCATGTAACAAATTTTATTAGAAAGAGAGTATTTTAAATCTTGAGATCCTCATTTAAAAATCATCCGATAGCACAAATTCAATCAGACTTTATATTAATTTTTTTTTTGGTCTAAGCTGCTGATTAAAGCATATTTCCTTTTAATATGGTGCTTATTATATTTTTAAATTAGTACTTTTGAACATTAAAGTAGTGGTTATTAAATTTTCAGAAGCCACACAATACTTTAGTACTGATTCGACCCTTTTTTATATAATTTAGTATTGTTTTGTTGTGCTTACCCACTTGTTTGATTTTTTTTCTAAAGATAAGCTTGTGAATATAAAATGAAAGCACAAGAGAAAAGAAAATCTTTGATGAGATTTTAATGCATGTACAATAGATTTTTTTTTAGTTATATATACAATTATACATCAATAATATAAAATAATTTTCTATCACGATTGAATGTGGTCTCTATTTCTATATATATATATATATATATATATATATAAATTAGGCGAATTTCAATTTAAATTATAATATGTGAATTATTTTGAAATAAATTTAAATTAATCAAATTTTAATATAAATATAAAATAGAGTTGGGCATCATATGGTACATAAAGTATTTGAAGTTTTTGATATCGTACTTTTGCTATTTTATTTTCAAAATTATTATATTATTACGATATCAATTTAATTTGATATGGGGCCCAATCATACTCAAAAAAAGAGTTTGATCCTGGCTCAGAAGGAACACTAGCTATATGCTTAACACATGCAAGTCGAACGTTGTTTTCGGGGAGCTGGGCAGAAGGAAAAGAGTTTTGAAGTTTTATTTCGGTATTTTTGTGGCATAGTAAATTGATAGTAATAGTTCATTCAACTTCAACTAATATATACTCGTATAATAGAGTAGTATGACTTCAACAATTAAAAAAGATTTCCATTGTATTATACAAACAACTGTAGTCAAAGGTTCAACTTCTAAACATTTAGTTCATACTAATATTAGGTTGCATATTTGTTAGTATTTTAATAATATATATATTACTTATGTAAACTATATATTCAGTGTTGGAGTCAAAAATTTCACAAAGGGTATTTAGAAATAGCACAATAAAAACTCTTCTAAAAAAGTTTAACTGTTAAGATTCAAACACACGAGCACTACCCCATTCCAAAGAGGTGAAACCCACTAGGCTACAATAACTTATTGTGTTAAGTGTGTCCAAAATATACTATTTAATTATTTTGTGAATCATTTTACTTATATATACGGTATTTTAACACTTGGCTACCATGTGGCTAGGCCACTGTATATACTTCGATATGCTATTCGATATTTCGGTATGTTATTTCTATCGAATATCTAAAAAAAAAATCAAATATCATAATATCAAAATCAAGACATCAAAAATTTCGATATGATGTGATAATTCGATATTACTATACCATGCCCACCCCTAATATAGAATATCAAAAGGCAACAAAAAATTATTCCCTTCATTTCGTAACTTTTACATCAAGAGTAGAAATACGTGATATAAATTTAAATTAATTAATATCCCTCTCTATATGAATATCAAATATTATATGATAATAAAAGTAAAAGAAATTTTTTTTTTTTAACAACTTTTTAGTTTCGACGTCCACGTAATCGAGAGCGGGAGTATGTATGAAGTGGCAATGAATCATCCACGTCGGGTGAGTATGGCGTTGATGAGAAGAAGTCAATAGTGTTGAAGCAACGGTTGTGAAGCCGCCAGCAGTTTGCAACAGTACAATGGGCTAAAATGAAGCACCTAATTTAATTTGTGTTTATTTATTTATCCACATGGGACCAAACTTTTTCTCCATATATAGATTTATCATTTCCAGCTCATTGGGTTTCTTTGTTTTCTTGCTTTCGAGGTAGAGGATACTGATTATTGATACAGGAGCTTGCTCGTACATTTAACTTAGCATTTACTTTAGTTTTATTGAGAAATGAAAAATACCATAGTAAATTAAAATTTTAGACTTAACTCACACCTCTAAAAGCTAAATCATAATAGAAAGATTATTCCAATGCATATAAGTGAACCGTCAATTCATTTCTCAACTAACACGAGACTTTACCCGTTGTAACATGCTTTATGTTATACTACTTTAATTACATAAGTTCTGAAACCTTGTTCGCGCCAAGTTACTCTGAGAATATTTCAATTCGAAATTTTTAATTCAGAATAGACAAAATATTCCAATTCGAAATCTCTGATCGGACGAATCTCAACCATCCTATTGGACATACTAATCCAATGATAAGGTCTTCTAAAGCTAAAATAAAGCAGGAAAGAGAGACAAGTTAAGGAACCAAGAGATGACTAAGCCAAAAGGCCCCAATATAAGAACATTACATGAAAAGGGGAACAAGTCTTCAACATGATTCATGGGAATGCAAAATATATTCCTAAGTTTTTACATAGCTAAAATCATCTATGATCATCAAAACCTATATATATCAGTTGTAACTATCCATAATCAACTATCCACACCAAAGTAACAAAAGGTGAATCAGAAAGGTGTCTTGGTTACTAGCGGCCACAGCAAAAGCTTATATCTTGTGCAGCAATAACTGGGGAGTAGGAGTGGTCAAAATTTGGAAGTTCATATTAGTATAGTTCTCCTTGGAAGAGCATATGTATAGCAGAGAGGCAAGATCGCCTTTCTGCTAAACTAGAACTTACAGATTGGGAGGAACAAACGATCCTCCTTGTTAAGGTATATCTGATATAGTTGGTCGCAGTATTTAGTAGCTAATCTTTTACATTCTGCATGATCCTTTGGACGTACTTCTTCCACGGCTTTTCTGAGTTTATTTTCTGGATCCCCATCGATCAGATATTCACCCAAAGCAGCTATGCTGCACAAGAAAAAAAACATAAAAGTTAATGGATATAGTACCAGTTTAAAGAAACTTACATTCAAAGCCATAAGATAAACAATCACACTCATTATCAAAACAAATGGGATATTGCATGTTCAATTTGACAATTGGAATAAACAAATGCAACAAGATCGGATCAAGTGGTTGGACTCAGACCCAATCACAGATCACTTACCCCACAATAGGAATGACACAAGTATCTGTCTTGGGTCTATATTCAAACACAAAACCTCAGCAGACAATCTCCTTTTAAATTGTTTCTATTAAATTTGAATGTTGTCCTTGTGTTTTGGTGTTATAGTGTCTTCTCCCTACGTTTTCACTACCCCCACTTCTAACCTTCAACTCCACAATTTTTGGCACTAACCACCTTGAAAAAGAATGATGTTCTGCTGGAATTTTGGGATACCAACCTCTACAGTACCAATCAAACCATTATAATTTGATCATTTTCTGAATAACTTGAGCATTGATGCCAAGAAAAGAGGTTCACAGAAGCTAAATGCGAGTTATTCCATCAAATGAAGGCATATTTAAATGTTCCTCCCAAGTTTAGCTTCGTTAGCACCAAAAACAAAAAAACTGAAGCTCACAAGCAGTGTGTGCAAAGAATACAAGGAAAAGTTTTACTAATACCTTAAGTCCAAAGACATGAAATGTGCCCCAAGGATAATAAGTACTAGCGAATCCAATATATATACCATGTTGTAAAAGACTCAAATCAAAAGAAGGTATTATCTCATATGACCCAAATGACATTCAAGTACAATATCGAGAGAGTTATTAGACATTCTTTTATGTTAGCAACGCAATTAGTGACTTTTAGAGACATTTTGAAATAAGGTGCATTTAGCACGAAATACTACAAAGAATTTTTCAACTACTAACAGTCCCAGATTTTACACTACAAAATTATTTGGGATTAGAAGAAACATAGCAATGGTGCCTTTTCTAGATAAGTACAAGAATAGAATTCTTGATATTCTTTGCTATTAAACACTGACAGTAACACTTGCTTAGTGGTTACACTGCTAATGTAAAATAGCAGTTCAATAATCAAACTTACAATATTAACACAGTAAAGATAAACTTGTCAAAGGATCAGGTAGTAAGTAGTAAGTACACACCTGATTTTATCAGATAGACTCAACCCCTGACTCTTGGTAGCAAAAAGGCCCTTGGAAGAGATGTTTGGAGAAATTTGGTGCCTATAAAGTGCACATATTGCATTCATACAAAGTTCAGGGTCCTTCTCGAAGGACAACCTCAAATCATCTTCCGACGAGAAAATTTTGCGTTTTGTAACTTTTTGGATTAACATATTCATACTTTTGTCACTCAAGGGATCATTCTCAGAATCTGAAGAACTATCATCACCAGACCCATCAAGCTTGTATAAATCAGATCTTCTGGAAGATAGTTGAGAATAAGACTTCCCTCCATCTTTGTCATCGCATCGTCTTACAAACACCGGTTTATGGGAATTGTCATGAGAAAAGGACAGCTTTCCATCACGATTTAATTCCTGAATAGATCTAGTCTTTAGTTTGCCAAATGAAGAACCACCACCATTGTCACTATCACATAAGCTTCTTTTCCTCTTGGACACTGAAGTTTCCTTTACATCCTGTTCTTTTATCTGGTGTGGAAATGTTGAATTCCTGCCTACATCATTACTTTTAGAAACACAAGCCTTTGCATTCTCATCATCGCTGTCGCTAATGTGAACAACAATTGAAGACCCAGCCCTGCCAACTGCTGTATTAAAGTTTTTCTTAACAACGCCTTCTGCTTCGCATGCTGATGGATCTATAGTAGGTGCTCCGTTCTCACAAACCAAGTTGATAAGGAGAGGGTCTGAAAGAAAGCACCAAAAATTTATTCAGTTTGCACAAGCACACAGTATCAGAAACATTTGCCTTTAATAAAATATGAGAGCTACCAAGGCGAATCCACAAGCTGGGAAACATCAGTGTGTATGCACTTGCCAATAAGATGAATACAGATTCTTAGAATCAATCATCATGTGCAGAACCTCAATCAGAATTCATGGTTAGACTACACCAAGAGTTGAAAAGACCAAAAGGCAAGGCACCTAATGATCTTTGTGTTACACTGTAAGTGTAACAGTGACTACATAAGCTCAACTTTTAAATTGTATACTCTCTGTTTCTTGAAAAGGATTTTATTTTTTTTTTTAAAAAAAAGAAGTGAAATGTGTACTATGTATATAAGAGTTAATATAATATTCTATTTAAGAGCGGATAGCATCTGAATCAACCTGAGCAAGAAATTTGGCTTTAAAAATGAAATATAGAAAATATTCTCTAAAGAAATGTACGAGAAAATAACACTTCCATCAAAATGAAGATAAAAACTATTCATTTTTTTTATGACAAGGAAAACCCGCAGCGGCTACCCTTTGGGTGCGCATAGGTTAAAACCCCCGCTCCTATGCAATAGCTCGCAAACCACATAGGAGAGGTAAGCGCACTAAGCAAGCCCGGTCTGATGAGCTCGACCCAAAAGGCACACCCCTTGCTTTCACTGGCAAGGGGTTTCGAACTTGAGACCTCCAACATGGAAATCCCAAGCCCAAACCACTGGGCCACCCTGAAGGGTTGAAGATAAAGAATATTAACCTTAAAAAAGTGGAGCAAGTGCTCTTTTTTAAGTAATCGTTAAAAAGCTCCAGATGCGTCTCCCTGTGAGAGTGCCTAAGAAAGAGAGGTCAGATAGATAGATTCACAAAGTTGACTAAAACTCTCTCAGTAGCTGCTTTAACACTATAGGAGACTAAGTTAGTGATATTGTCATGCATTTTTTATGACTAGAAGTCACTGATATTCCCAGATCTAATGTGATAACAGTGCATTGGCCTGCAAATTCTTCAGAACCGCTGGCAGTAGGCTCCTAAGTCAAAAGGCTGCTACTTATTTAATTGATTGGTACTATCCAACAGTCACTAAACCACATGGAGCTAAAATGAACTTTCTACTCCACCCTCTAGCTGAGTTCATTTGCTTCCTTTTGACCTATAAGAAATTGATAATTTAATCCCCAAATATCTCAAGTTGTTACAATAATTTTAACAAGCTGACAGAACAATTCAAAAGGCTGGTTTGCATTTACTTTTCAATTAATGTTATGTGATACAAGGTAAAGACCCTACGTTCTCGACTAAGCTCAAGCTGCAATGAAGTATGCTTGATAGAGTTTGTTAAATGAACAATAATAAATTCCTTAGAGAGTGAAGACCTTTCGACTCTGCTCTCAATACACCATGCAACACATAGAAGCAAATATTTTGGTGAATTTACATACAAAAAGGATTGATATTCTCAAAACAGAACCAAAAGGGTTGACATTCTCACTTGTCAAACAAAAACAAGTTGAGATGTGGGTTGAATGCCACAAATAACAACAGAAATGTTAGAATAAGCATGACAAATCATCTATACCTGCTTCCTCTGAACGACATCTTTTCTTTTCTATGTTGGAAACATTGCTATTGCCTTGAGCAGAACCACCAGCAGAAGGCATGGGATGCAATGTCTGGACATCAGGACAATTAAACATATTCATTTTTGTTGAAATGAAGTCTCTGTTACCACTGCCTGCAGTGATACCCAAGTGACCATGTTAATCCTAGACTTTGAAATTATAAACAAGGGAATATGAACCACATCCACTGCACACGATTACCATATCAGTGTCTACCACATTTCCAGTTTCACATAACTACTTAGAAGTTAGGTTTAGGTCCAGAGCCAAGCAAAAATTACAACATGCATGCATAGATAAGTAAAGCTTAAGCCTAGCACAGAAACCATCACTCAATAACTGTAAGTCCCTAACCGAAATCGAAGACCATATACAAATTGTGTCCGTAACTGTAACAAAAAGTTCAACTAGAGATAAGCATAATAATACCTTCATCTCTTGATTTACCATTTCCAATTCCATTTCCATTTCCAGTTGAATCAACTGGTGGAGCCCTAGGTGGTGACAACTGCTTCTCCTGAAGATCTCCAGCAGCACCAGAAGCTTTACTATTCACTTCTACAACATCAGCATCTTCTGCCATTTTATGGATCACTGAGACATCAACCGTACGAGTTTTAGCAGTTTCTACCTCCTGAAGTGATACTCTACTTTCCAACTCTTTGAACTTCCCCAAATACATCTTCAGCTTTGCCTCAACTTCAGCTTTTCCATTTTTTAGCTCTTCATTTTCCCTCTGCATATCCTTCAATTGATTCTCCATATTTAACTTTTCTTCCCGCAGCTGTTTATCACGGTCCATTAGAATTCCTTCAACCAGAGAGAACTCCTTATCACGAAAAGCCGATTTTAGATACAAAATCAGTTCCGGTATAGAGGAAGCTTGCGAAATAGAGGAGGAAAGCATTGGTTCGAACTCGTATGCCTTTCCTGAGTTCCATGTGCTTCTAGTAAGCGAGGTAATCACCGGTTTCGTCTCACCACTCATCGCAAAACCTATTGAAAATTAAAAACCTAAAATTTTGTGAAGAGAAAAGAGTTGTTACCGTTTCGCGAGATCAACAGTGAGAGTGAAATTCCGGTGCCGGTGAAGAAGACGGCCGGCGAGTGGTTAGTGAGGTGACTTTTGCAGTTTCTGTTTCAGGTGGAAAGTCCAGTGGCACAAGGTATATCAGTGTACGGGGCATCACCCAAGGGAGATGAAGCGGGAATTAGCTGTCCTCGGGATTATAAAGAGAGAAAAAAACTCCACCTATATTTTAAGTCACATTGAAGTCGTGAGTAAATTTAAATTGCACAATACAATTATATTATCTTTTTTAAAAATATTTATTGTAAAAGAAAATTATAATGTGAAAAATTGAATTTTTACCCCTTAATTCTGTTACTATACTTTAAGTTTAAAAAAGAAAATTCTCACTAAATAAAAGATGTTCCTTTTTATCTTCACAAGAAAAAAAATGTTTAGTTAACCAATTATACTTTAGTTACTTACTTGGCCACCAAGGATTAGTAGTGTTTGGAAGGAAGAAAATGGTTGACAAATGGAAGTAATTGAGAGATTGGTTTAGTTTGTGAGATAATTTTTTTAATCTCTCACTTTTAACAAGTGGTAATTTTATTAAATTCTACCGAAGATACAAATACTAGGTATTCCCTTTTATGTGCGTTCAAGTTAGATTAGTTAGAACTAATTAATATTTGAGAGTTGTGATAGAAGAATTTGTATAATAATTCGTTACTTTTTTAGTGCTTCAATTGATGTTTGATATTTATATTGAAGTTCGACTAAATCTAAATTCATATTGAAAGGGTAAAACGCTCTTTAACAAAAGTGATTATACAGTCAAAGCTTGAAATTAAGTATCTAACAAAAGACGGAGGAGTACTTACAATCACACCATGACTTGATTGGCCATGATGATTAATCTTAAGAGATGATGAAATAAATATACAAATATGCATGTATCAACTTGTGTCAAATGTAAAAGACATAACACATATATGTGATCCTTATTTTGACTTCAACGGATAATTATGTCCTTCCAATTTTGAGTGTGCACAACTAGACACTTAAACTTGTTTAAAAGTGAACAAGTAGACATACATGTTCTACATGACATAATTCATGTAAGACGCCAAGTAAGACACGAAATTGTCATATAGGGCACCATGTAGGATGAATGTGTTCATTTATCCAATTTTATACAATTTAAATGTTTACTTGTGCGCACCCAAAGTTAAGATAGTTAACACCAAATTAAGGATCATATTTATGTGTTATGTCAATATAGAATAATAATAACAACTTTAACCATCATCCTCTTGTCATCTCATAAGTCATTTGGGGCAAATGATTTTACATGATAACATTTCAACCTTAGACTTGACAGTACTACACTCTGCTCAACTTTGATTTGATTATTTGTTGCATCTTTAAGTGATACTCGCACTCAATTCATTGATAATGAGTGTAAATTACTCTTTATAGGTTGTGACAAAATATATAATAACTTATCGATAAACAATTTAAACATACATATTTATAAACAAATCATTAGAAATTTCCCCAAAGATTTTCTTATAACTTGAAATAACTCCATCTTATGATTAATGTTATACATCTTTGATGACTAGAAGTTATATAACAAGTCATGCTCTAATCCAAGATCATTATACAAATATAATCATAGGTGTTCCACAACTAATTAACAATGTGCTAAGAAAGGACCAAACATATTTAGAGTGTACAAGTATAAAAACATACTATTGTTTATTAGTTTTGAGGGTTTTTTGATGATAAAAATATAGTAACTCAAATGTATATCAAACTATTAGTGAGGTGACCTAAAAGCCAATATAGCCAAAAGTCATTTATCTATTTTGCTCAAACAAACAACAATATGATGACATTTTCACTAAACAGTCATTAGGTATTTTGTCAAAGATTATAGTTAGACAATTGCATCACTATAAAGACAACTTGGTCTCTTTTTTTCTTTTGAGTTTTGAATATTCACATTAAGGTCTGATTAAATTTGATTTCGTATATTACATGACTCAATTTTGGATATGGCGCCTCCAACACAAAAAAAGAGAAGTATTGGAAACCAACGTTAAATTAGGCGTGAATTATTAATTTCATTCCTAAAATATTAACAGTCTTAAAAACACATACTTACTTGACTAACTGAACTTAAATACACCCTCGATCGTGCAACATGAGTGATATACCTCCTAAAATCTTGTCAACTTTAAGGGTTTTCTCAATCGTTCTTTCGCCAAGTTTAATTAATTAAGTTAATGAGTGTCTTTTTAAGACAATCGATAGTCAAAGAACAAAACTAAATAATTTATATTAAATTTAAAAATATTTATAATATTTTTTTTAAAAAGTTGTTTCCAAAAAGCTCAAATTACGTAACTCTAATCGAAGACGGAGAAATCATCCCATCAAAATCCAAGTTAATAACATAGAGACAACTTAGTTATCCCCGTTGGCCACCTAAACTTTTTGTATCTTACCATAATCTTTTTTTCAGATGTCATAATTGTCTCTTATGCATGTGCAAGTGTACTGAAAGTCTGAAACTAATTTATTTTTGGCCAATAAGATTCTATTAAGTGTTCTACGTAACTTTTTGGGGTGTTAATTATTTCTTAGTCTTACGTTTCATAAAATAAAAAAAATAAAAAAATTGTAGTAGTATAGTCTTAGTTTTAATTAGTTACATTTATTTCTCAATCTTTCTGAAGTTCTCAATTCATAATTGAAACTTGACTAAAAAGTAAGCTAAATTATAACTTTTTATATAATTTAAAATACTTAAAAGTTATTTGAGATGGGAGAAAATTATTTTACTACCGAAATAGTTACTATATAGTTTTGTAATAAGATAATTTTTTTCTTAAGAATTTCGAGATTGATGGTGCATTTGGTACAAAGGAATAACGTTTTTTCTTAAAAACTTCAATGATTGTCTTATTTTTTATTTTTTTGATAAGTGAACAATAAAAATAATCTAAATTAAATATTTATATAAAATCTAAAAAACAATATATCAGCCCGAGACTAGTAGGATTTCTTCATTAACAACATGTTACATGCATTAGATTCTGCCATATATTTAAAAACATTTTTATTGAATTGTGTATTTATTTATTTTATATCTTTTTTAGTGGGGAGAAGGGACAATTAAAGCTTTCAAAATAAAATATAATGGAGGGTTTTACTTTGATCTAATTTTACTTTTTATATTAGATGTTTATTTTTGAAAAATATTAAATAATTTATCATCTTATATCTATTTACATTTATTATTAAGTAATAAAATTCATTTCCTAATGCATTTTCACATCTTATTATTTTATTAATAATTTTGTAAAAAATGTACATGTCAAGTCAACAATGATTCATGTACATATAAAAATGAATAGGGGAGTACCATTACAATGATCGATACATCATCTTTCATAAATTTTATTTTACTTTTTCATTTTTATTTGTTTAATTTAAATTTTTTATGCTTTGTAAAAAAATAATAATTGGATTGGATTTTCTTTTAATAAAAACAAAGACTAGAGTTGGATTTTAAATTTTTAGGAAGCTATATTCTTGCATTAACATGAAAATCATTTATCACATGTGTAGTTTTCGCTCTATTTAAAAAACAATTTCAAATAACAATTTATATCACATTTGAATTAAGCAATAAATATTATGAAGGATAAAAAAAAAAATCACAATGAACGACTAGAGTTGATTAATTATAAATAGTAACTCTTTACATGTGAAGAGTGCAAAAGCATTGTGCATTAATCAAAAGCAAGTTGTAACAGTTATAAGTCATCATTAATCATGTAGTAAATTAATCACGTTTATTGACAAATGTAATTAGTATTAGACAAAAATACAGGCAATTTTATCAATCCAAAAAAAGTTTCAACGACTATATAAATCATCATTAATCAAGCTTATATTGATAGATACAATCAGTACTAGACAAAAATATACATAATTATGCACCATTACGAAGCAAGTTATAACGATTATATGAGTCATAACTAGTCATGTAATAAGTGAACTATAAACTTACATTGATTATCTACAGATAATCTCAATATAAAAAAATTAAACAATAGTTATGCACCAATTCAAAGATACACATATACGCACACTCACTCACTCACACATATAAAATAAAAATCTATCATAAATTAATTAATCTGAAATTACTTACTAGTTGATATTATCACTATACAAAAATAACATATTCTTGCATTAACATGAAAACCAATTATCATAGGTGTAGTTTTTGCTTTATTTAAAAGGCAATTTCAAATAACAATTTATATCACATTTGAATTAAGCAATAAAAATTGTGAAGGATAAATAACACATTACAATGAATTATTAGAGTTAACTAATTATAAATAGGAACTCTTTACATGTGAAGAGTACAAAAACATATTGCACTAATTAGAAGCAAGTTATAACAGTTATATAGGTCATCATTAATCATGTCGTAAATTAATCACGCTTATATTGATAGATGCAATTAGCACTATACAAAAATACACGTAATTATACACCAATTCAAAGCAATTTATAATGACTATATAAATCATTATTAATCACACGTATATTGATAGACGTAATCAGTACTAGACAAAAATATACATAACTATGCACCAATTTCAAAGCAAGTTTTAACGGTTATATGAGTTATCACTAATCACGCCGTAAGTTAACTATAAGCTTACAACGATAATTGACAGATAATCTCAGTATAAAAAATTACAGAATAGCTATGCACCAATCCAAATATACACAACGCAGGCTTGTTGCACGCCCGTGCAAGCACACATATATAATGAAAATAATTAATTAATCTTAAATTACTTGCTAGTTAATATTATCACTATACAAAAAAACATAATAACTATGCACTACTAAAAATCTAGCTATTATAGATTATATGAATCAACATTGATCACATCATAGTTCATATCTATATCATAGAAAATTAATGTAGATTGATTAATATAGCTGATATAATTGTCGTAAAAAACACATAAAACAATGTAAAAATCCATAACAGATTCTAACGGCTATATTTATATTATGAAAATTCAGCATAAACTAATTAAATTTTACATTAATTATCAGTTAATACTATCAAAATACAAAAAAAATATTAAAATATAGAAGAAATAACATAACAATTATACACCAATTCACATCCGA